CTCTGTTATTCCATCTGCATAGTCATCAAAATGTCTGCCTCTATGTACCAAACAAATATTTAATGACAAAGTTTGTCTGTCTGCCAACGATATTTAAGCCAATTCAATATTCGAAGGCATAACTGGTTGCATATCCATCTACCCTTTATACACTGCTCCAAGTGCCAATCTACTTCGATTGGAATGGTAAACACCAGAATAAAATCTAACAAAGATTATCAAGTATTGTAGAGATAAGAAATGCGTTAAAATAGCCAGAATCAGAACCTCGCCGTTTATATGCTGGCATTAAATGTCCAAACAGGAATCCGATGAGATGACCGAATGAAAGTATGCATCGTTGATCGAAGGTATCAGCGAATACAGACAAGTCCAAATAAAAATTGTGGCGTTACTCTTCACTAGCTTGATAATTTAGTCGTCCTCGAAATGTCAAGGCGAGCTAGGGTGTCCAGATGGGGTAAAGCGAAAGAATGAATGCATCTTTAACTTGATAGACTTGACATAAGGGCTGGCATGCAATTCAAGTACAAAATGGCGAAAGCTGCAGAATATAAGTATTTTCTAGGTGATAAAAATCATTAAAGTAAGAACTCCGATCAAGGGTAACAAAACTGAGATCAACACTTACAACATTTATAGGAGAACTATCAGAAATGTACTCGTGTCCAGTAAGATTCGATTCAATGGAAGGTCGACGACGATGTCGAAGTAATGATTGTCCGTCGTTTAACTTGGTCTTTGATTGGACATTTTGATCAAGCGAAGATTGAATGGAGGCAGATTCGGAAGATCTAATCTGAGGGCCACATTGTGCTGCGGGATCGAAAGAGGCTGATGTTGAGACGGAGAAAAGTGAACCGAGACCAAGGCCGGAAGTTGAGCCTATGGAAGTAGTAGGTATAGCAAAACTTTCATTCGGGTTGGTGTTGTTTACAGGTGGGGCGAAAAAGTCAGTGGCCGAATTGGAAGTAAATGAAAGGCGTGCGGCAGTAGAAGAGCGTCTTTTTGAGCCGAAGATGTCCATCTTACGTCGTACGGACGAAATGAATCCGGTAGTTGCACGACTAAGACCCCCACTTCCTCCGCCTCCGACAGAACCGATATTGTTGCCAACCAATCCTGCCAACTGGCCGGCTGATGTGACATAGACGCCAACAGGGTCATCGAAAGAGATCAAAGAGGCGCGGTTGGACTGGGTGACAGCCATTGATGCAGATTTTACCCTTATCTGAGCTGTTGGATTATAGCCGTTGGTGGGAACCGAAGATGGCATACGACCAGGCTCTTGGTTACATTGGACTAAAGCCCCTGAAGGCGAGTCGGTGAATCTCTGAGCCAAACAAAGGAAAAGGGCGTTAAATTTTATTCATCTGGCGATGCCTCACAACGAATTAAAACTAGAATAGTTTATGAGTGTAGTCGAAATGCTATAAAAATAAAGGTGGGTTCCATACACATAAATGACTGACTTCGCAGCTGATGCCTAGCACTAATAATGATAC